GAGAATCGTGCAAGAGTATATGAACAGTACAATGTGCTCATGATTGACAAGTCTTCTGTCGGTGTTGGGAGTGAGGACCTGGCTCATTGACACGACAACCTGTAAATGAGATGTTTTTCATCATTTTGGTTGGGATTAGAGCAAGACCACACTGATCAATTTCATTTGGCTTCCATCTAATATAAACGACGAGGGAAGCTGGGGTTTGGCATAGTAGGAGAGAGAATAGGGATTGATTGTGATTTGTAATTCCTCTTGGTTTTCTTCATCTTTTCCTCTTTGATTTCACTTTCCATTTTTTCCCTATATGTACCTTGTGTGGGGGTTGAGGGTGAGAAATGTAAATTCTTAGTAGGTTGCAGGCTCTGGTTGAAAGGAGCGGCAGTGTAAATTTCATAAGCGAATGCATTTGCAAATTTTTCTTCTACACGGGATATAAATTCCTTAAGCCATGGGAACACCGGCACTAATTAGCTAAATATATTTACATGGCCTTGCCATTTGCCTACTTTTCATTTTCCTCTTCTTGCAGTTATTCCAAGTCGGAGACACTTGCACCACTTTTTTTTCTCATCAATTTTTAATCCTGTGTGTGTATTATCAGCTAACATCAGAAGCCAAATCCTGTTCATTTTTATAAATTTAATTGTCAATTTCTCTCGATGAATATAAGAAGAATTAAGTAATCCAGGTTTTTGCAGACATATCACAGTACAAATTTGTCTACATTTTTAATTTCACATGACATGTCAAACTAGATAAGTGCCATGGATCATTGTTTAATTTTTATAGAATATAACAGTTCAGGAATTGATTTATTTAAGAATAACTTCTATCACTTCAGAAGAAGTTATGAAATGTCCAGTAACTTGATTCCTCTCTCCATCACTCGACGTAAATAATATTCAATTTGTTGTAAAATATTTGAGAAGTAATCATTGATACGAAATATCTTGGTCAATGTGTAAGCTTGTTATTCATTGTGTGTAAACAAAAGATTTGTTGTTCTTCATTTTCAGACTACATTCTCACTGTATAAATGATGCTCAGGAACAGTGAGACAGAAGAAATATTCTAGGCACAAGGTAATAATGGGTTGGCCAAGTACAAGAGATAATATCACCAAACTTTTCCATAGGAAAACATGTCAGAAATCAAAGGAAGATAATTGTCTGAATCCAAGATAGTCTAGAGGAGGCCATGGCTTCTTCACTTTCAAGTTATTTATCGACTTTTCACACATCTTCTGATCCACTATTTTAAGATACTGTGGTTCGTGAAGTCGGAAACAAAATGAATTAGGATGCTGTAGCATCTTTTCTCCTACTTTTCATAAAAATAATTTAGATAGAGGAAGCAAATGTATCTCCTTCATCACTGGTTCTGTGAAACTGTAGTTATTCAAATGACAACCAAATTTTGAATGAAGAAGGAGATCCAAGCTCCCACAAGTCAGTAAGGCAATACATACAAAGGAATTTCGACCAATTATCTTGTGCAATATTTCTTAAACCTAGCCACGGTGTATATAGCAAATAGTCTAAAAAAGTCCCCCTTTCTTAGGTGAAAGAGACATTTAGTGCTTTCGTTCATAACAGTCTTATTGCAGATAACACACTGGTAACATTCATATGTTTCCATTACATAGAAAAAATAAGGGTAGGCTAGAATCTATGGCCATCAATTTATACACGTTCCAAATGAAAAAATTAGACATGTTCAAGGCATATGACAGTGTAGTGGTCCTTCATACTGGTTATCTATATCTCAGAACTGTCAACTGTGTAAAGAGTTTACTCCACATAGATGATCATGTCAGGGTCAAATTCTGTCTCCTTGCCTCATCTTCTTGTGTACATAAGCACTTTCTGAGTTTATCTTACTGGCCATATATCACCAAATAGTTTACACAGCGTAAAGTTTTGTACCAATGCACATTTTATTACAGAGCATAAAAGTTTGAAAGAAGAAAAGGAAATAACTACTGACCAACATAATGAATTACACAATAACTATTCACCGATGATTAGTTTTTTAATTCCTCCCAAGTTGTTTCTCTCAGTCTCTCTTTGGGCTTCAATAGTAATCTAGAATTGAGTTCGTATTCTTCATGTTATGTATGCTAAATGAAAATTTTTTGATGCATCAGATGTAAAAGAATGAAATGAAAAGTTTAACTATTCTGATATGATTGCTAAAGTGCTGTTTGATTTTGGCTGGTAATACAATTGCTAAGGCATAAAACTTTTAAGGGTGTTATTCAGCTTCTCACTATCAGTTTTGTGCTAATTCAATTTATGTAAAGCTCAAGTTAATTTCTTCAGGTTTTCTCAGTACAGGGTGAAGCAGAAGTTATGGAGTTCACACTTTGAACCTCATTCTGGCTATGCCTCTTAATATGCCATACTTCTAGTTTCGTGTTAATGTTGTTTTATGACTAGAGTGTTCCTTCCTCAGTTTGCAAGTGAGAAGAAAGATATCCCACATCGATAAGTTCTAT